CCGGCTCGGCTCGGACACCCCGCTCCCTGCCCCCGCCACATCCCCTGGGTGCTGGCGCTGCCCTCAGGGTCCCCCCGCAGCCGGGGCATCGCAGCGCCGTCCCGAAGCATCTCCTCTCCGGACGGTGACCTCGGTGGCCTTTCCCCAGGCCCACCCCAAGCGCCTTCCAGCTACCAGGGACACAAAATCAGCACAGGTGTTTTAGGCGCAATTGCACAATGTCGCCTAACAGGGAACGATCGCTCCCTCCCCACCGAGCTAAACAAAAACCAAAAAGCAATCCTCATCAAGCTGTCAGGCTCAGTTTCCCGAAGGAATACAATTAAATCTTTAAATGGCAACGTGACCGTCAGCTTTTCCCCATCTCAAAAGATGCTTCTCAAGTTGCGTTCGGCTGTTCCTCTCTTCCACCCCCTCCTCACAGTTTTCCTTCCCTCCGCGGAGTGCAACAGAGGCTGCGGCTTCGCAGCCAAAAAAAAAGTGCGATTTGGAGAGCGCGGCGCGACGCTGTGAGTGGCAGAAGTGAAAAGGCAGAGAAGCAACTCTTGAAAGCCTGCCTTCTGCCGCGGCGGGTGTCAGCCTTGGCAAAACCCGAACTTCCAGAATTTTCTTGCAAATTAAAAAAAAAAAAATAAAAAAATAAAAAATTAGAGGACCTGTCGGATTTGGCTGCTGATTTTCTTTCCCTTGTTCCCTCAGAAGGAAAAAAGTCCTTTCTTTTGCTTAACAGCACAGTTGGTGCAATCTGGGATGTACTTGCCTGGCAGTATATGGGGATGTAGTTCTGCTGTCTCAATTTGGGGTTCCCTGACACTGACAAGATGAAAAATGAATGCTGAATACCTTGATGCTGCTTCACTTGGAAGACCCATGTATCAATAAATTATTATTTTTTTCTCCCCAAAAAGTTTGGAAATCTACAGATCCCCCTTATTTCCCCCATTTTGGGGGTGCTTTCCTTCTGCTGTGGGATTGGAGTGACTCCCCTTTAATGGAGACACTAAGAGAGAGGAAGGGAGAGCACAGGAGTTTTGCTGCCCCACGGCAGGTGGACCCAAGGCAAGGGCTGTGGTGGAGCTGAGCGTGTGCTGGGGTCGGTCATCCCATCCTCCAGGCATCCTTCTTGCTACCCTGTTCTTGTCCGTGGCTGGTCTGGGTGGACCTCCAACCTGCTGCAGCACAGCGATTTCACCTCCTAAAACATGGGTAACAAACAATAAATATGATGGCTACTAATAATAACCCTGTTTCTCCATCCCCGATGGGTTATACGCTCAAAAAATGCTGCTGAGTCAGTTCAGTATTCCCCCTGGTTCATTAAACCAGCATCCATTTTCCTGCAGATAAGATGGTCCATCAGGGGAAGGGATGATGATAACTCATTTGTCACACTTGTAGAAAAGGCTGGCTTTGGGTCACTTCCAGTTTCGTGTCAGCTCTGCCTTTATCTGAGCAGCCCCATGCCTGCATGCCAAGCAGGGTGGCTCTCTCCTGTGTAGCACAGGAGATGGGGATGGTGGCATTGTCCCTGCAAGATTTCCTAGAGTTGGGGATGGTCTCTGAGTGCCAAAGCACTTGCAGTGTGGCTGACATGAGTCCCAGCTCATGGAAAGGAATGCACTCATTACTGCAAGAGATGCCGTAGGTCCCACAGGGATCTAAAGCTGCAGCTTGGAACCCCTGGCACCACACATAGGCTGACCCTGTCTGAGTTATCCCCCAAGCCCACCCAGCTGCGCTTGTGTTTGAGCTGAAAAGCTTGAGAGGTGTGATGGGGAAGGATACCAAGCCAAGGCCTCAGACACAGACAAAGTGAGCTTGGTGCAGGTACAGGAAAAGGGGATACAACTTCATCTCTGTGCCTCTCCTAGCCTCCGAGGGTCCTGGGATGACTGGTCTGGGTCTTGCCTAAGGTAGCACTGTCCCAGTGGGATATAATTTGCCAGTTCAGGGAGGCTGCAATGTGAGTTATTTTGGTTGTACCCTCTTTGGGGGGCATTGCCATCGTGACAGGCCACCTCCTCCCTCAGCCTGGGATGGGGACTGGCTATAGCCCCTACATATGTTAGGATGGAAACACCGATGGCTGTGACCCCTCAGGGAAGGGAGCAATAAGTAATCAAGAGAGGCTGGGAAGAGTATTGATCTCCGAATGAGTGATCATAGAGCTGTTCAAGGCCGAGATACTTTCGGGGCATCATACATTGCACTCCCAACCAAAACTTTGCTGCAAAACAGACCCCTGATCTGGCCTGGGGTGGAAATGCTCTCCAGTGAGTCGGGAGCAGGGAGGACTGCAGGTCTTTCTGTCCAAAGCTCCCCTGATACATGAAGCCCAGTACAGGATGAAGGTGTGGAGACCTGAGCAGGAAGGAGGTGACATCTTCTGATTCTTTCAGGGAAGCATTTTCATGATCTGTGCCCACATCTCACTATGGCACATCCCTCGCTGAGCACAGCCCAGAGACAGCCTGCTGATTTAACCATGCACTCAGCAGATGATGAAGTGTCCCATGACAGTCTGTCTGCATTCCCCATCTCTTGCTTCACCTCTGCTTTCAGGGTGGGTGCAAAGGTGAGTCCTGATGCCTTCTCCCAGCTCCATGGCTGGTCTGCAGTGACTGGTGCCCCTTGGCATGAGGTCGTCTTACAGCTGGAAAAAGATGACGCAGCTGTGGCATATGAGATGAGATGAAGGGTCAGAGGGGCTGATAAGGCTGTATTTTAGTCCTGGTCTTGTCATTAATTTATGGGTGTTTTCAAGTCAGGGTGTGTTGATTTGCAGCATGACAGGCAGCTGCAGGCAGCTATTGGGCAGGGATCTGAGCTCCTGTCTGTTTCAGTGGCAAAGGCACATCGTCTCTGAAATCTGGCTCTCCATAATGACCCTGGGAAGTGCTGCAGTAGCAGCAGGTTCAGACTGCAGCAATTTATTTCTCTCTTCAGTGTTGCTCCTCGCAGGGGAGGGGGGCCCTGCCTGCTTGGCTGCCTTTGCCTGCTTGCCATAGATCTTCCATCAAGGAGTCACTGAGGTCTCTGCTCTTAAATCTGGGTCTGTGCTCTCCTTCACGGCTGCACGTGGCCCTGACCTGCAGCAGCATCCCTCACTCCTGCTTTAAATCTCTCCCGAGCAGCTGCTGGTGACATTAGCATTTTCTCTTACCAGCCCATAAAGACCAGGAGCCCAGCCCTGCTAAGGAAGGAATTAACCCAGCAGCATCACATATCAGAGGTATCTTTTTATTGACTGTTTAGAGAAATACAGTAGCACTCCACTTAGGTGTCTTAGGTGAGTTCTCCAGAAGGTGCCTTCCTTCTCAGCACTGCTAGGAAATCCCAGGGAGAAACCTGCCCTTTAACACTTCAGGGTTTCTCTGGAGGCTTTGGGACTCCCCAGCATGAACTTCCTAACACCTTCAGCTCTCCAGGGGTTGGGAGTTGTTGAACCAGTGGATGAAATTCAAGAGAAAAAAGGAAAAGAAACCCCCACAAGCTGGGGGTAGTGGGGCGGTCTGAACACACCTGATATGTTGTGAGCCAGCCCTGCCATGATCCCCATCCATCACTGTATGTGTCTCCAGCTCCACAGGACCCCACTGCTCCCTAGAGCTCAGCTGTCTGCTACTAAGTGTGCGTAGCTCTGGGCTTTGCACGCTCTTTTCACACAGCTTGTTGGCCATAAACCAAATATTGTTTGGTCTATTTTTCTTCCTGTACATGTGTAAGAGTGAGACCTTTTCCTTCAGCTGTTCACATACCATTTCAGGGCAAGAAGGGTATGCTCAGCTGGGCTGATGAACTAATTTAACTTTTATTTATGTATTTAATTGACCTTTTTTCTTTTTCTTTTGGCAATCAAGGTGTGGTGGTTGGTTTTTTTGTGTGTCCTTGCTACAAGAAACTGCAGACACTTCTGGCGTAGAGGCATTTTGGCGGCGGCAGCTGCTGTTGGCCTCACTCAGTAGTCAGTGAGAGGGTATCGCAGGAAGATGAAGATAAGGATGATACAGAAGGTGGCAAGGGCTGAGCTGGTGATGTTAAAAAGCCGGGCTGTCTTGGCATCTTCAACTGCTCCATTTAAGTCATTGAGGAGTTTCTTATCCCGGACCTGAGACAAAAAGATAATTAAATGAACTAATTGCAACATGTATGAAAGACATAACTTGTTTCAAGCGACAGCCACAAAACCCAGTGCACCTGTACGTGGTTGCCTGTACCATAAAACACCCTGAGGTGGGGTTTGCACCCCATCTCTGCTATGGGTTAAGCTTGTGAAGCCAAGCACCTGTGGGCTGGAAATTCTTGGAAGCAGAAAAATCCTGAAAGAGTGACCCATTGCTGTTACCAACTAGGCAAACCAGGGTCCCATGGTGGGGCAGTGTCATTTGGAGCCTGAGGGTGCACAAAGGCACTGAGATGCCAGGCACTACAGCATGCTTCCCACCGTGTCACAGGTGGCCCTGTGGCACCAGGCTCCGGCTCACCCAGCCCATGAGGGGGAAGGAAAGCTGGCTGCAGTTTCGGTGTGCATCCCTGTGCCTCCGTCTGCACTGAGGGCCCGAGCGGGTGAAACCTGGCACGGCATCCTACTGCAGCTCCAGGGCTGCGCACGAACCTCCAGCATATTAAGTAGTCCTGGGTTAATGAGCTCCTTTCCTTTTGCAGGTCTTATGCGGATTGTGTAGCATCTCTGCCACAGGCAGTTCTCTATTCTGACAGCACAGTCTGCTCCCTTCATTATCCTGTGGGCTGGGACTTTTATGGGCTTTCCTTGGGACAGCTCTGCAGTGAGTAATGATTGTGCATATCCATGCCACGGGCCTGTCCCCAGCACTTGCAGGCTGCCAGGCACTGCATGGCACTGCCAGGCAGCAATGCCACTAGTGGGCATTACTGTTGTACTAGCTACAGCATTAGCAGGCAGCAGATGGCACTGCAAGGCAGCAGATGACACTGCCAGGCAGCAATGGCATTACCAGGCAGCATGTGGCATCACCAGGCAGTGGATGGCACTGCCAGGCAGCACATATCACTGCAAGGAAACGATGGCACTGCAAGGCAGCAGATGGCAGAGCCAGGCAATGATGCTATGAGCAGGCAGAGATGGCACTGCGAGGCAGCGGATGGCACAGCCAGGCACTGACAGCACAGCCAGGCAGGCAGCGATGGCAGTGCCAGGCAGCTGATGGCACTGTCCACCAGCAGCAGCTCTGCAGCTGGATCCCAGCAGAGGAGGGGTGAGACTCCACTGTTTCCTAGCAGGGATATGTCCCTGTCCCCAGGGTGTCCCTTCAGCCAGCACTCAGCAGACTCAAGCAGCTGGAGCCACAAGGATGAACATAAGGACCTGGACAAAAGGACCAGGACACCTCATCCATTTCCTGTATCCAGGCAGGTGCCCAGGGTGTGGCAGGGCCTGCCCCACTGCTCTCTCTTGGGTAGGGGGCTGTGGGGAGTGGGGCTGTGAGCCCTTCACCTGCCCTGCTACCAGCAGTGAGAGCCCCACCAGGCAATGCTGGCCAGACACCGGACGAGGGTGGCAAGCTGCAAAAACCAGCACCAGAGTCAGACTGAGGAATATTAAAAGGCTTTTATCGATCAGGAGCTTTCCAAAAAGACACTGCAACAGATTCAGGCCACATCTTACAGACTTCTCTTTTCCTCCTGCTGTGCTTACTCACAGGGCTGTCCTGAAAGCCTTTTGCTGGACATGGGGAAGGGTTGCTGCACCCCTTGTTCCACTGAGCTGTGCTGCTTTATGGGCCCTCCAAAGCTGCATTTCAGGCCCTCAAGCAACATTCCTGCCCTCCATCACACCAATGAGGACCTCTCTGCACAAGCAAACCCTGATCTTCTGAACCATGTGTAAGGAAGCTGCTGTTGGTATGAGACCCACAGGATCTGGTCCTGGTAGGCACATAGGCAAGAATGAGCCTATTTTTCATACTTGTATTAAATCAAACCATGCCATGTCCTCAGCATCTGATGTGCCCTGCTCCTTAGAGCCTGGAGCTGGAGCCATCTACTCATTGCCCTGCTGTGGAGTGCTCAGCCCAGCATCCTTCTGGGATCGTGAAGAGGGGATAGTCACAAACTGCATGTGTCTTTGGGGCACACTTGGCTGGAGCTCTCAGCAGAGGAGATGATCTCTGGGAAGTCATCAAGCCGGCAGCTTGGGATCCCACATGCTTTCTGTGTCAGCTGAATGTCCGGGATGACTCACATTTGAAATTATTCAGTAAGTTTAACATCCTCCCCAAAACCCCTGGGCTCAGCAGCACCAGGCATTTGGCACCTCCTCACGTGCTGGTGAGAAGCCCCAGAGGTGCTGGATTCAGGCCAGAAATCCCACTTGCTGCTCCCAGCAGACTCTTTGAAGCTCTCACACACTTTCCTCTTCCCAGCGGTGGAGCTGCCTCAGGCAAAACCGACACGGAGCAAATGCCTTTTGCCCCTTCCTGCACTGTAACCCAGTCTGTGCCGCAGGGAAGCTGGCGTTTGCTCTCGGTGTTTGCCAGGCAGACAGAGGTTTCTCCAGCAGACCGGCGTGGCAGGCACACCGAGCTCTGCAACCCTCCCTCAGCCAAGCCGCTTTACCTTTGTGGGGCCAGTTCCTCTTGGCTCCAGGAGCTGTCTCCTACTCCTCACCTCCTGTTCCTCCTGTCCCTGGGGCGCCCTACAACCCTAATTTACATGCTCAGCCTTCTCCAGTGCTCCCAGCAGCCTCTCCCAGCCCATCTCCCACCTGACACCAGCTTTCACTCGTGACAGGTGCTTTAGCCCTTTCCCATGACACACTTCAGCAGCGCCTCTCCTTGATTTGCCCATGGCTCTTCCTTTCACCCTGCTCTTGTCATGCTGCTGCTGCTGAGCGTCTGTGGTGAGGGGTGCCTGGGGCTGCCCTCTCCCCAGTGACGCCATTTCCCCACAGTTCCTTATTTTTGTTCCTCCCATCTCTCCTCTTTCCTGTTGTTTGGGTCCAAAGGATGATGCGATGGCTACCTCTGCCTCCTACCAAAGGGCACCCAGCTGCCTCCTCTCCCTGCACCTCCAGCTGGTTCCACCCACACAATCCTGCCAACCCCGTGGCTTCAGTGGTCACCCTCATGAAAATCATCCCTGATTGCCCATAACCATTTATACTGAAATAGAGCCTCTAAACACCAAACATGTGCAAGGGCCCTTGTAGACTAAAAGCACAATGAAAAGAAGTTTCTCCTTACAAACCACTCATGTCTCCAGCCTCACATATCTCTCCAGGGCAGCCTTGCTTCCTCTGGCATAGCCTTGCACCCCCAGATGCTTCCAGATGTCTCCCTTTAATGTCCTGCTGTGGCAACTGAGACAGGCTCTGGAGGAGCTCTAATAAATGTTCCAGCTCCTTCCCTGCTTTGTCCTTAAGGAGATGCTGGTGTCTTTCTTATAGCCCAGCTTCAGCTTTTCCTCTTTTCATGCTCCTGTGGCCACCATCATCATGTGCTGGCAGCTGGTGCACGAGCTTCTGGGAGCCCTGGAAGCTGATTCCTTCCATAGCCAGAGAGATGAAGCATGGTGAGGAACAGGTCCTCAAGGTCACAAGGCTGAACCCCTACCCCAGACCCAGGTGTGGTGTTTTCTTAGTCACAGGCTCTTCTCATCATCTCTTTGACCCTCCTCACTTTGCCTAAAACTAGATGGGGATTTTTGGCCCTGTTTTGCACTGAGATGACTGGGGTGTGAGGATAGTTATATCTGCTGACTGGGGTTTCCCTGGGCACCTCCAAGCACTATGTGGTGGCCTTTCTGGAGATCCCCCTCCTGGACAAGGCAGAGCTCACCTCTGATCCAGGCTGGCAACTTACACAATTTCTTTCTTCTTCCATGCCTATCTTTACATGAAACAGAGCCAGCTTTTGTGCTCTAACCTCTCTTCTCTCCCTTCCTATCAACAAAAGGTGGTGTGGCCTTTCCATCCATCCATCCATCCATCCATCCATCCATCCATCCATCCATCCATCCATCCATCCATCCATCCCTACTTGCCTCCGTGCTGCTCACCTTGTCTTCAAATTTCTCCATCTCACTGTGTCCTCCCACACCTCCAGCATGCCAGTGCCCAAGGGTTCTTTCTCTCCTCCCTCTCATCACCATCCTCTCTGCATGTTGTTTCCTTGGGGTTTTGCTTTCTCTCCAAGTGCTCCCCTTGAATCCTACCACCCCACTCCTTCTCCCAGCAGTCACCTCCCCTCTGTCTGCCCTGAGGCTCAGCCCCTCTCATTTTTGGGAGCAGCAAACTTGCTGCTCTAGTAAAAAGTGCTGCCTCAGCTTGCAGAAGGAGACAAATGGCTTGTTGATAACAAGTCTAATGAGGCTGTTTTTAAGGCAGCCTGGAAGTCCACAGCTGGTTGTCAGTAAACCCATTTCTATGCAGAGCTCCATGTCTCTGCACAGAAGGAGCTCTGGAGGCGATCCTTGGATTTATTTGCTCTGTGAATTGCTCAAGAGCTCTCCAGCCCACGTGCCTCCACCACACCGGCACTGGCGTCACGGGACTGTCACCCCTGCATTTCACCCACGTCCGTAAACCATTGCTCCTTCCGAAAAGCAGGATGAGAGCCTGCCTGAGAGGCTGGGTGCGGCAGCTTCTCAGGGTTAACAAATAGCTGTGGATTCGTGCTGGTCTGCTTCCACTCGAAACAAGGAAGATCAACATGTGGCAAGAGGGGAAGGCAAACAGTCATGCCCACAGCTGTGTGCTAGGGGCTGGGCAGAGAGCAGGCAAGAGAGCCTGGCATATTTCCATGACCTCAAGGGGCAAGAAAACTCTGCAAGCAATGCTGTGGGCTGCTTAAAAAGCCAGCAAGGCTCCTTGGCACCTTCATCTCTACAGAGGCACAGCGAGGCATCCATACTGCGGCTCATCTCAGATCCCAGCTCCTCTGATCTATCGCCTCATGGCACAATGGGTACAGAGAAGGACTTGGCTCACCCCGACAGTCTCCAGAGACAAACCTCTGAACAACTGAAGTGAGATCTCCTGCCACCAGGCACTGATGCATCATTCATTACCACTTGGAGCTGGGAAAGGGGAAGGGAGGGAGCTGCTGAATATCAGACCACAACACTTGCTTCTGATCAAAACCAACTGAATCCAAAGCGTTGCTGTTGGAGTGATACTTTTATCTGTGCTGGGCTGGGATTAGGGTTACTTTAGGATTTCTAACTTCCCTGGTCCTGCTGTTGAACTCTTCTCCCCCAGCATCCAGCACACATGATTAGATGCAAGTGCCTTGCTTGCACTCCGGGAGGCTGACCTTGAGAAGCCTGAGATGCTAGAAATGACCCCTGGAGGGATCCATGAGTTGTGTGACCCCGTTGCAGCCCAGCAAGCTGTGTTTGCTGAGGATCTGGCCTGCTATGGGGGTAAATAAAGATGAGGGATGCTGCCACACTCCTGTTCAGAGTGCTTGGCTCTGATGTCTGTCACACACAGAACCTGCCTTGTATGTCATAGTTTCTGCCCTCACCTGACTTCATGTGTTTCTTTCTTCACAAATTCTTTGGTGCTGGGGTGAGGATTTTTGACATTTTTTAGTAAATTGTTGTCACCATGAAATAGCATTTGCCCGCAGAAAGAAATCTAGAAGGGTGTAGCTAGCATGCAAAAGGCCAGGCAGACATGCCTGTTTTCCCAGATGTGGCTGGAACCAATAAAATAGGGCATGAGGAAGGAGACAGCTTCACAGTAATATTCAAGTGTACCAAGGATATATCTGTCTTCCAGTGTGGGCATTATGCTGCTGAAACCAGAGGAAATGCTAGGGTGTGCTAAGATACACACTGAAACATCTCATGGACTTGGGTCACAAAGGAGATACTGCTTTATTAACAGTATGAATCTGTCAGAAGCAGGTGACCTTTATGACAGGGAATTGAAAATGCTATTTCTGATAATGAAAACGATAATTCCTGAAAGTGCTAGATGTTTCAGTTATTTAAAGGAAGTGTAAAAGCTGTAACCCAGGAACAGCTTAATGGCATCAGTGCACTGATGGTCCTTGAGGAAACCTGTGTTCCACTGGCTGAGGGCTCTGCTGTCAGGTGTCCCAGAAGAGGCTCAGGGAGAGGAAGGTGCAGCTTCACTCTTCTCCTTCCTACAGCACCTTAGTCAGTCCCCACAGAGCACAGACATTCTAGAAAGGCTGGACTTAAGTGCCAACTGCTCAAATGTCCTTACATTTAATTGCAGAGAAACAACAGAAGTCTGTTTAAAGGGGTATCTGTCCTCAGGGCATTTCTTGCTCCTGTTTTCTCTGAACGTCGTGAAAAACATTATTGATGGTAAAAGAAAAGAAAACATGCTTCTGGAGAAATAACCGTAACACCCAGCCTGGCTAGGGTGTTGTGAAGATCCCTGCAGTAGCTGTGGGTAAGGAACACAGCTGCCTTTCTGAACATCCCAGTCTTCCCCTGGACAGACCTGCTACTGCCCCAGCATCTGCACTGCTTCTCACCACCCATCCCAATAGCACTTTGTGAGAGCACTCGGCATCCCTTCAGCCACTTGCTAGCTCTGTCCTCTGCCTCTGAGGGACATTTTGTTTCTATTTTCCCCTTGCCACGGAGTCACAGCCACTGGGGAGCTCCAAAACCAGAGCAGAGTTATTTCTACCCGCTCAGCGTTACCTCTGTTTGGGTACCGTGGTTACATCCCATCAGCTACCGCCTTCTCAGCCCAAAAGCCAAGGCTGGTTTTTGGAATAGAAGACAGCCATCTTCTATTCTCCTTTCTCTGATTTGGAGCAAATTTTCCCATTTGCCTCTCCTCACCACTGCCTCTTTTTTTCATGCTTAAGTTTATGTCCTCTAGATCTCTGCAGACAGATGCTGAGCCCACACCTCTGTTCTGGTGCAAGGGCCTGGGTTACTCTGGGCTTTTGCCCTTCCTTCCACCCCATGTTAAGGATAGCGAAGGGTCCAGCCTCTAAAAACTTTGCAGGTGGCAGACACTATCCTTTCACCAGGGGATGGGTCAGCCTTGTTCTCAGGCTGTCCTGCCCTCACTGCTGCAGCAGCAAGGAACCCAGATACTCATGGTAGCCTCTTCCACGGGAAAGATGTCAGTTGTTAAAGACAAATACAGACAAGGAAGGGCTTAAAAAAATATGGAGGAAGCCAGTTTTTTCTTCCCTTGTTGGATCAAGGTGTGGGGGGTATTAAGGGACTTGCTCCCTTAGCCTGCTACTGACTGGATTTACCCTTTGCTTGTGATGATGCTTCGTCCCAGGATGATTTAAGTTATTAAGTGCCTCACCCAGGCAGCAGCAGAGCCTCCTGCACAGGCAATGGATGAGAGCTCGTCTCCCATCTCAGGGAGGGAATGAGAAACCGAGGCAGGCACCACAAATCCAGTGCTGGGTGAGCCCAGGACATGGGGCTGCAGACTTGTCCCTGAGCCTTTCTGATGGAGACCCTGGCAGTGTTGGGAGCAGCCTCCTTGCAGTGCTGGGTGCTCACAGTCCAGCTCACAGGAGCTGTATGGGGTTAATTGATCTGCTTCTGTGACGAAGCCCGTCTGCACCCTGGCCTTCCTCTAAATGCTGCCTGCCAAAACAAATCAGCCAGCTCCTCTCCGGGCCACCCAGCCGCCCCGGGCTCTCTGCACATCCATTCAGTTAGTTTTGCATCTGGCAGGCAGGGAAGGGGAGGGCAGCCCAGGCCCCTCTCTCCTGGCAGCTGCCAAGGGGCTGCCTGTTTGCCAGGCACCATTCCTGCCAGGCTGCTCTCCCCTGCAGCTATCAGGAATAATAACCTGGTCCCATTCCCACCATGGGCTGTGCTCCACGCCATCACCCTCTCCAACAACACAGCTCTGTATCCCCCCCAGCCCAGCACTGTGGGAAGCCCCCTGCACTCTCTTCCACCTCCTCACCATTCCCATGATGCTGGCAGGTCTCCAGGGCTTGTTTTTGGATTTTTAGGGCTTGGGGTGGGGGAAGCTGGCCACGAGCTCGGGTGTTTTAACTACAGAGAGGGCAAGAAACAGGCAGGATTGCCCTGCACTTTGTAAGCTTCTTACCCCCTGCAACTTCACAGCTGATGGCTGATCCTGGCTGGCTGCTTCTTACTGTTCCTGCCTGACCATCCAGTGCTGCTGGCTCCCATGCTGATGATCTCTAACAGCCAGGATCCCAAATAAGGGACATAGTGCCGGCGTGCCTGCAGGTGCAGCATGAGCCAAACCAGCCCCGTGCTGCCTGCCTGTCACCCTGCCACCACGGTACAGAGGAGCCTCCGAGGGTGCTTGGAGCAAGTGAAAGCACCTCTTCCCCACCTGAAGTAACATCCCAGGCTCCTCAGCTCTTCCCATCCCCATTGTCTGCAGCCTCTCATTTGGGTGGCAAAGATGTGTTTCACATCAGGCACAACCCCCAGATGCTTCCCCCCCTGCCTGGTCACCCCCTACCCCGAGCCTCGCGCTCAGTACTCACTTTCAATGAATAGGCCAAGGCGATGAAGCCGAGGCAGCAGAAGTTGAGGTATACAAAGTTGAAGATGGACCAGAGATAGTAGTCGTTCACCTCGGTGGTGTCAGGGTAGATTTCGATGACAGTGGTGGGGTTGGTCATCGTCTTCTTCTCCACCGAGTGCTTGCACGGGACCGCTGGCCGCAGGCTGTCCCCTTTGCAGCTCTTGCTCTCCATGAGATAAACGGCAGAAGAAGGAGACAGGACGGGTGAAGCTTGCCGGAGAGCTGGGGGCTTGGCGATGCAGGCGAAGCAGCCCTGCGGGGGGCCTTGCGGGGGTCTCGGGGTCCAGGCCACCCCCTCAAAGGGGCATGGCGGGCCCAAGGGGGGGTCCTGTGTCCTCTCCGTGGTGGCTGCCGCGGCGTCACCGCGCTCTGCCCTGGCAAAGCGAAAAGCCCCCCCCACCGTGAAAAATGGGGGTGAGGGGGTGGAAAGGCCGGGGGCAGGGGGAGAAGAGAAAGGGGGCAAGGAGCAGAGAAGGGGAGACGTGGGGGGAAGGCGGGAGAGACAGAGAGGGACCGGGAGACCGAGGAAAGAGCAGGGAGAGGAGTGAGGGAGTGGGCAGAGGAGAGAGGGAGGAGAGTAGGGCAGGCAGGAGAGGGAGGAGGGAGCACCGCTACACCCGGGGACCACGACGCCGCCGCCTCGGCGCGGAGCTGCCGCCGGCCCCGGCCCCGCGGCGGGGGCAGAGGAGCGGGCAGCATCCCTCCCCCTCGGCCACGGCCTCCCCCCGCCGCTGCCCGCTGGCCTGCGTGACCCGCCTTCCAGTCACCACTGGGGAAAGCATCTTTCTTTAAAAAAGGAGACAAATAAAAGCAGACAGAAACACTTGGGAGGCGCCGGGGGGGCTGCGAGGGAGTTGCCAGCCGGCCGCGCTGCAGCCCCCCCCGCAGCCCTCCCCGCCCGCCTCTCTGTCTGTCCGTCTGTCGGGGCCTTCTCCTTTCTGTCCCATGCCGGGATGGGAGCCGGTGGCTCGGCTGCGGGCGGAGCGGGTCTCCCGGTGCGGCAGAGCAGCCCGCCCCTCCGCCCTCCCTCCCTCCCTCCTTCTTTAGCGGGGTGGGTATTTTGGGGGGCATTTTTTCCCCTGAGTCCTAGTCTTTGTGGGATTCCAGATGTGATTCCATTTCCCGGTTCCTTCCACCTGCCAGCAGGTTTCCAATTCCACACCCCCCCCCTTTTTTTTTTTTTTTTTTTTTTTTTTTTTTTTTTTTTTTTTTTTTAATGCTATCGTGTCTGGGGAGGTGGAGGAAGAGGAGGAGGCGAGGATGGATGGGGAAGGGGATATTAGAAGAAGTTCCCCTCCACCCTAGCTTTGCAAATAGGAGAGACTAGTCCACCTCTGGCTGCCCGTCCGTCCGTCCATCGGTCTCCTCCGAAGGCATCAGGAGGAGCGAGGGATACTCACAAGGAGGGATGCGGGGAGTCGCTGCATATCCGGCTCAGCACTGCCTCCGGCTCGGCTTCCTCGGCGCTGGAGTTGAAGGAGGAGGGGAGGGCGGGGAGGGGGGCACCCATGGGCTAGGGATGGGCAGAGGGGGACTTAGGGGATGGGAAGGTCAACCTGCAGCCCCCTCTCTCCCCCCGAACATGCTAAACGCAGGAGAGCTCCTCCGTGTCTCAGCTCTTCTCCTCGTGTCCCCCCCACTGGGACGTCACCTCCTGCTTGGAGCATCCTGGTAGCGCCCCGCTGGAGAAGGGCATCTCCTGGGCCCCGGCCGAGCGGCTTCCCCGAGCATCAGGAGGGGATGCTCGGCCCTGCTCTCCCCAGTGTCACCTACAGAGACCTTTGCAGCGGGGACTCGCTGCAGCCTTGTTTGCGGGTTCACCGCTATGGATCTGGGTGAAAAACTAAAACAAGTGTGGCAGGAGTGCGTGGGGACAACCGGAATTAACAAGGGGAGGTGGTGGTGATGCAATGTTGTGGGGAAAAACGGGCTCTGGTCGTGAGGGGATGAATGGAAAGGGGATAAATCCTGTGTGTGAGGTCACAGATCCTGCTGGCACGGAGCAAATCCCAGTGCAGGTAGGGGTGGGAGCACTCCGGCAGCAGGATGCATGGCATGTGGCTGCTTTAGGGGAGGGGGGTGGGGGTGTCACGAAGGCTGGTCAAGCCCAGGAGGTTTGGCTGTGTCCATGCTTAGCACAGGGTCAGGGATGTGCTTGCTACCTCCCATTGCTAACAGCCTGGAAGCTGCATGGAATCCCAGCTCTCGGGTGCTGCGGTAGCATCCCCCCAGGGACATGATGATGGAGAGCAGCTGGAGCCGTGCAGGGACAGCTTGCAGGTCATTCAGGAGGATGCAGCCGTGGCACAGGGAGAGTGAGGACACAAGGACACACCGTGTCACCCCACAGTGACATAGCCTGGTGCAGGTGGCCTTGTTGCAGCAGGCAGTTTAGCTGTGACACTGGGGAAGGGTAGCATAGAAATCCCCAGAGTACTGGAAACAGGGTGGGTAGAACAAAAGTTTGTGTGAGCAGAAACTGCAAGGGAAGGGAAATCCTCTGGAAAAGCCTTAAGCCTACCCACAAAGTGCTGAGCTAAGAAATAAGGATGGTAATTCACTCAGCTCTTCACAGGCAGGTTTGGCTCCAGTGTAGGGGCACCCACCCTATGTTCATCCCTGTGGGTTGGTGTGATGTGGGGGAACTTCTTGCACATCCACAGGTCTCTGAGGCTGGAGGAGGTCCACCTTCCATGAGACCAGTTTAATCCTTCTGAAGTTTTTTGGTTAAAAAAGGACAAATTGCCCTCTGGTTCAGGATTTATTGCTGCTGGAGTGGCATTGGGTACTGCCAAAGTAAGTTTTATTAGTGCTACAGCTGCCTGTTATGAGACCCAGATCTCTCTCCAAGAAGCTGCTAAGAAACAGGGGCAGTGGTAGGGTGAGAGTGATGCTCCTGTAGGATTAAGAGGTTTGCAGGTGAGGCAGAGCCATGGCCAGCTGTCCTCAGCTTTTCTGGAGGGCTTGGACAAACTCAGTTGTGCAGAGTATCCTCCCTGTAGGCTCAGGAGAAGCAATGAAACCCCATGGATAGAGACTAGAGCTACTGATGAGCCTGCTGTTCATTTGTCTGGGGAAAGTTGTATGGGTAAAGCTGCTCCTCTTCTTAATGTCAGGCAGGGATGGAGGGTGAGCAGAGAAAAAGGTCAGAGGGGGTTTGGAGCAGGCAGGAGGAGGTAGCAGGGTGGTGTGGGGGAATGTGAGATCAACAGAGACAGTCATATTCCCTGTATGAATAGGACTGAAAGGTCAGGGAGGTTGAATGGCTGCTTTTCCTCTTCTCCAGGTACCAGGTCATCCCCCTACAGTTTGCAGAACACTTTTTGGTCTTTAGGTGAGTGATTCATCTTCTTCCTCCATGTTAAGTGTGAGAGGTGGGAGTTTTATTACGTGGACCACAGTGGCATATATGCAGCATCACTGGTTCAAAAACCGTTCATGTGACCCAGGGAACTGACATAAAAAAATGGAAGGAATAAAACCCCTCAATATTCTGCATTATTTTAACTCTCCTCCAGTTTCCTGGGGATCTTCAAAGGTCATGCATGCACGCCCTCAACCATATGGTCTAGGACTACTTTCCTTTCAAATAAAAAGTGGGGTGAATATGAATAATTGCCTGCATTATTGTGGCATCAAGGCTGGCTTCCCCTTGTGCTAAGCACGGGACAAACAGAACAGAAGGATGCTTCCTGCCCCAAAGCAATTATCCCATAATCACATTAGAAACATGTGGGCTGTAGCATAATCAAGCGCTGTGAGAAAATCTTCCATCTCAAATCCTACTGAAGCTCTTCAGAAAACCATTAGCAGAACCTGACCCTGCTTTTTTTTTATTTCTGAAGGAAAAAGTCCACAGCCTCCTGAATGCTCTTTTCCTATTTCCCCTATAAAATTCCTCAATGGGTGGCTAAGTTCCATAAGCAGTAAGGCAGCGTGAGACTTGGAGGGGTAAATCCAATCTTCCCACTCTCCCTTGATCTCTGTCTCCTGTACTCTGAGCTTTCATTCTGCACTCCGCTTCTCTTCCCTCCCAAAGAAACCTAAAAATAAATATATCCAAGAAAGAGCGGAAGAAGGAAAAGCCATCAGCCCCCAAAACGATGTGCTTAGTCATTCATGGTAAGTAAAAATAGTTTCCCAAATGAACAAATTGCTGAGCCAACCAGATGAGCAAGTCACCTCCGTAAGTGAGGGGTCTCATCTTCCCTCTCCTTGGGCAGGTCCTTGTATTAATGGGCTTTTGGTAAAGCCCTAAGCAGAATTACTTGGAAGATGGATCAGGTCCATGAAGACAGCCCTAGGGGTCAGTGCTAAGCACCCTAATACTTAAGGGGACATGTAATGAAAAATTTGATATTCTTTGTATCAATGGAGACATTTAATGAAGAGTGAAATTGTCATATGCATGGAGTTCTGCAGAGATGGTGCGGTAAACAGGGGGCTGAAGTAAACCTGAGGACTTTCTGGGCAAGATAGTGTGGGGCTGCATTCAGGCTGCTCCTGGGGCAGGGTGTGCTTTGCTCCCTGCTGGAAAAGTATGGGTGGGAAATTCTGGCTCTTGGCTTCTCCTTGCTCTTGGCCAAGATCAAGGCTGTGATTGTTCCCGCTGGGATGTAACATTCAGCACACAAGGCATGATTGAAGACTTAGGCAGAATCCCCCCAGCAGAAACAGGGCCCTCATATTCCTGTCAATAAATATTTGGCAGCAGATGACTTGTTCTCCCCTTAGGCTATTGAGGAACAGTGGGCTGCATGATTGGTTTTCAGGATCCAGCCAGCCCTTTTGGGTTAAATCCATCTCTTTAACATAGGAGAACAGTTGATTGGGGAATTTAAGCATCCTGGGGGAACAGAGGCTCAGGACATTCCAGTAGGGAAATCAGCTAAGCTGTATGCTTAGATCTGCACTCAGAAGATGGGATGGGACTTGGCTGCATCCATCTTGCTTATGGAGATGATGCTTTTTTCAAAGTAGGGATTAGCTCTTATCTTCCACCTGGCACATGGGGCCTTCATTCCGCTTCAGAGTCCCCAGCTCCCATACAGAAGTGCTAGGACTAAAAATTACACAGCTAGGCAAGAGGGATGGATTTTTCCTACACCATGTTCATCACTGGGCTCTGGAACTTCCCCAGACTTCACACCTTAGTTGATTTTAGGTCAAACTTAGAATCTGAAGTTCCACTTTGGCTACTACAGGACCATTCCCAGTCCTAAACAGGAACTTATTCTAATCCTAAGCAGGAGCTTGTTCTAGCTGGTCCAGACAGGGGGACCAGTCAGATGGGAACAGCCCGAGTTCCCTGTTAATGGACTACCCATTGCAATACTCAGAGGGGGAGGTATGGCCCCAGGGAGAAGGCTGTGGACTAGCAGGGATGCTGGGAGTGCCTGCTGCCCCAGTGGTGCTGGCTCAGCCAGGCAGTACGGTCCTCTCACCTTGCAGAGGCTGAGTTATGTTTTAATCGATTGAAAAAGACAAATCCAACAGGGTCCTATCATGTTTCCTTATCAGAGAGAAGGGGAGGAGCCCTTCTGAAACACACAGGAGTCCACTCAAGAGAGCAACCAGATGTCCAGGGACAATAGGTTGGGGAGACACAGTCTCTGCACACGCACAAAGAGTTTGGCATCTCAAACTGCAAAAGGAAAGACCACTCTCAGAGTTAAAGGGGAAAATACTGTATTTTCTTTTCAATTTTCTATGAAGAGACGATTAATTCTGACAGCAAAATAATTTTAAAAAACCAATCACACGATTAGAGATGGGTTTAAAAATGCAAATAAAAGAACAAGGGGAGGAGACCCATTCAGGGAAGACTGCAGTGAACTGGTCCTCCAGCCTATCCTACAGTGTGTCACTCAGGGCATCACTCTGAGCCATGCTATCCCCAGGCAGCTGCCTCCTGCCTGTCACAGACACCAGCCCACCTGGAGTTACTGCACCGGGACCACACAGGCGGCGGGAGGCAGTGCACACCCAGCACAGCCATGGCCCAAGGGCTCTGTCTGGGGCTGTGCTGCACATCCCACTTAAATCTGATGCTGAAGATGTTCAAAAGCCACTGCCAGGTCCATGTCAAGCTTCCCCCTCACATCAGGTCTATTCAACAGGTACTCAAGAGGTGAACTCTGCCTCCCCATGCTGAAGGAATCCTGTGGTTGGGAAACAGTGTAGCAGAACTTGGAGGAGCTCTGGGCACTTAACTGGTGTGAAACTGAAGATTTCTGTAGAGGTGCTGAGTATTTGCTAATTTTGGAGCAGCTACTGAAGATATTTTTTTTTTTTTGGTAACATACTATTGTTCTCTGGCCAGTCTAAAACAGATGTCCTTTAGTGTCCAGATGTGGAGCTCCAGGTGAAGATTATGAGGCGGCAGAAGCTTTGGGGAGCAGCATTTGTCACATCTGGGGTTGTAGGGGACAGTGCATGTGTGCCACGTGTGCCTATGCCTGTCCCCACTGTCCATGCCAGACCCCTCTAAGAGGAAGCATGGTTTTAATGTCAAACTTACTTCACTGGGCAAAACCATCTATTCACTCACTGCCCAAAGACCTTTCTCAAAAAATTTCTTGGCCCCACTGCTACTGCTGGCAGCATTATCAGTGAATTTTCGGTAGCCAGGATTTTGCCATCTGTTTAGCCTAGTCTGGGGTCATGGCCGCTGCTGATCTTATCCTTTTGTCACTCAAAGCTTTGCTCCTTATCTGTTGCCACACCCT